TTATGCACAAGTGCCTATCAGATTGTAATTGCACTACCATCACTTCCTGCCTATATTAGTTTGCTAGGGTTGCTGTAACAAACCACAAACTGGGTGGCTTAAACAATAGAAATTTATTGTCTCACAGTTCTGGAGGCTAGAAGTCCATGATCAAGGTATTAGTGGGGCCATGCTCACACCAAATGCACTAGGGAAACATCTGTTCCATGCCGCTCTCCTAGCTCCTGGTGGTTTGTTGGAAACCTTTGGCATTCCTTGACTTGTGGTAGTACAGCTCCAGTCTTCACCTGGTGTTCTCCCTGTGTGTGTGCCCCTGTGCCCCAAAATGTCCTTTTTTAATAAGGACACCAGTAATATTGGATTAGGGATCTACCCTACTCCATTATGATCTCATCTTAACTGATTATACCTACAATGACCCTATATCCAAATAAGGTCACATTCTGAGGTACTAGGGGTTAGGACTTCAATGTATGAATTTTGGGGGGGACATGATTCAACCTATAACAGTACCACAATATTGTGTACAACGCAGGCACTTACAGTTCTTAAAACAAGGGCAGTAGGACAGCAGTATTATCTTCGTCAACAAATTATAGTACATAATAACCTATTTTATGTATTTTAACTTTTTATTATGGAAATGTTGAAACATGTGAAAAAAATAGGCCCAAAAAGATAAGGAACCCCCAGGTTTTCATTTCTCAGTTTTAACAATCATCAACTCATGGCTAATCTTGTTTCGTCCCCCCTCCTATATTTTACGTGTACAAACTACAGTGTTTAAAATACTTTCATCTACATTATCTACTTTGATTTTCATAACGACTGTGAAAGGCAGGTTATGTAGTTGTACAGTAAAATTTATTTCTAACAAATTACTATTTTAATATAAATGCCAATTTTTAAGACAATGAGGGAAAAAAAGAAAGGATGCCAGTATACCTTTATGCATGTTTTATTGAGTTTTTGTGCCTCTTAATCCTTCACTGGCATGTTACTTGTTAGGGTAAATTGCCAATTTATATTTTTCTAGAAAATCACTTTTACTGAATAACCCTTTTCCCAATGCATCCTATAAAAATGGGATTTTACTAAACAAACGACCTAATGTCACATATCATACATAAGGACGATAAATGCCTAAAATTTTAAGGAAACATTATAATTTGAACAATTCTTAGCCCAAAGTGATATTTGTAGGGGATCCAGATGCATAAAAATAAAACACACCAAATGAGCCATTGAATTCGTAGTTTGGATGTCATTTTTCTGACAGTTATCAATGAAACTGTCATGTATTCCTGGAATTGGGGACTATTAGAATTATTTATTTTGACATCATTCTTTCACATAATTGTGTCTGATATTTTAACAGAAAGTATTTGTTCACATGCATGTGGGTATTGATAATCAATACTTTCACATTATGTGCACATGAATTAGTTCTGATTCTTTTCAAAACCTGATTCACATAATCATATTATTATTATATAGATACGTATAAACACTTAATTTTATGTAGAGCTTTCTCTTGATCTCTTTCCTACTTGACTAAGAATATCAAAGATGTCCCCAAATGCTCTCCTGAAGGATGATTTAGTCACACTAGCAGAACCCCAGGCTCAAATGTCAAATGGGATCAGTTCTGTACAGTGCACTAATCATGCTGCAATCTTTTTGCTGTTAAAGTTACAGTCATATATTACTCATCGAGGCAAAAATGTAAATGTTTAGTGATGATATGGTATTTTTTTTGTTAACTCCCCAGATGGGATTTTTTTTTTTTTACTTTTGTTTGTTTATTTGAGAACAACAACTGAATGCTGAAATGCAATGGCTGATGCCAGCAATCTAAGGCTTCATTAGTACAGACGAAGCAATATTTACTTTGCTACACAAATAATTAGAGAGATTAAATGAAAACAAACACTGAGAGGATGTGCAGAAGCTCTGAATTTAGGTAATTATTTAAATTACTCTAGTGACTTCTACCAACCTTCATTATCAGCCACAGATCAAGCTTAAATTGTTTTATGTAATAATATCATAAGCTATATGGAAAAGTATTATAGCTACTCAGTGATTACACTTCATAAAAATGACATTTTCGTCAAGTTTCCATTGAAAGGAGTTGTTTCTATTCCAACAAAAGCGTAAGATTTTGCACTTAAAAGTGTTTTACCCCAGTTTTGTGCTTCAAATGGACATCCCTAGTAATTTTTATATCTTTAAATCATTACTTAGATTTGATCATAAAGGATTTGGGCCACATTCTTAAGCCACTGAATGTATTAATAAAACAATATGGCATGTTCAGCCATTTCACATAAATGTCACTTGGAATCATGTCATCCTTACTGCATGACAAGCTGTACTTTGTATTTGGGGCAAATGATTTCTTCTTTCTTCCCCTCCCTACACCGACTGGGGAAGACTCTAATCCACTAACAGGGATCCCCTTCCCTACAGGTGAAGTTACTATTTAGAGGCATTGTCAGTCTTGTTTAGAACAGATTTCACTTTATGTTCATTTGATAATGATGACCCATCAAAATCTCCAGTGTTAAGACAGTCTTTTAAGATAGTGTTATCTGTATTTAAATACCATTTATTGACTGCCCGTGTAATGTCAGCCCTTCTCCAAAATACATGACCTAATTTATCCCATTTAATCCTTACAAGATTTCCATGAAGTATATATTATTAACTCCATTTTCCAGAAGAGGAAATGTAGGCTTTGGGAAGCTCATTGATTTTCTCAAGTTGTAAAAGTAGCCCAGCTGGGAATCAAAGCCAGGTCTCCTTGACTCCAAGAACTATCTTGCCCCCAACAAATGACTGAATGAGGTAAACCTGGGTGCAAATGCTGACCTAGGATAATAGAAAAAATGGAGTGACAGTTCTCAATGTGCTAGTTAAGTGTTGGGTTGTATGACACCAGTGAATTTTGGGCATCAGCTGAAGTCTCAAATTAAACTGTAAATTTGATTGATTTTGAAAATGTTCCATCTCTGAATAGCTCTGGTTCCTGGAGAAGAAGACACAATTAGGAAATAGGTTTTATGTTACAGTGGAACTAACCAACAGTTCCCCACTACCAAATGTAGTGATGTTTTTAGTACAATTCAGTAACTGCTTGTTTTCCTCCAGCTAACACAAGGCATTTCTCTTTAACCTAATTAAAAAATCCCAACTGGACAAACTAGACTTCAATAACTTTGGGTTGGAGGGGGAGGTTGGGCAAGTGGATGTGTGTGCTGCTTTCTAATATTTAAGAAAAGCCTTTTCTTTAAGGGAAGCCTTGACTTCCTTCCCCATCCTCCTCCCCACATGATGCTGGCAGGCACTTCAAGGCCTGACCAGGACACATTTTCCCGAGATTGTGTTATATTCAGAGGCACATTAGGCTATCGGCGAATACAGGAAGAGAGCTAATGGATTCCTTGTTTCCTATGTTTAGAATGCATTAATCTGCAGAGCTTAAAAAGTATGAGTTGTAGGTGACACAGGGAAGTTGAGACAGAAGGCTGGCTCTAGCAAGTGTGGAGAGGAGAGGCGGGGTGTTAGTCTAGAATTTCACTCTCAGGTTTCAGAATCTGAGGGGGAAGTTAGGGAAATTCACAGCCAACACCTGATTAACAGGTAAGCGGTTCAGGAGTAGGGCTGGGAGAACAGGAGTATCAGGAAGACTGGAGGGGCACAGCCTCAGAGCTCTTGGTTGCACCCTCAGAATGCACAGTCAAGAGGGATTTCTTTGAGAACAAGTCTTAGAAAGGCAGACAACGGAGGGCAAATGGGTTCAGGAATCATTTATCATAGGCTACGGAACATGGAGAAGGTCCTGCCGCTTTGCAAACACCTCCCTGGGACGTTCCTGGGAAGCATGGCTCCTCTTCATTTTTCTGGGTATGTTACAGACCGCCCGGCATTCGGCTAGTAGGTCGACTAGATAGAAAAAGTGTCCAAACTAAGTCCAACTAAGCGCCAACTGTTTTCTTGGTGTCCTCCAGACACTCATGATTCCGTATGTCATCATATGCTTTGGTTTGGATAGCACCAGGCTATATTTAAGAAGGCCAACGCTGCCTGGCTGGCTGGCTGTGTGGGGTGTGACTTCTGCAGGCCATGCAGTGAGGAAGCCACCACTATATGCAGAAGTCCCACATTCTATTTCCACTTGGCCACTTGCCACTGACCTCAGAGAAATCACTTTAAACCCTGAGCCTCTGTTTCCTCATCCAGAAAATGAAGGTGATTCTACTTACCAGGCCTCTTTGAAAGGGTCGTTGGGAGGGTCAAATGGAATAATTCCGGTGGCGGCGAACTGTGAGGGACTGTGGCTACAAATTACTGAAGAAAAATAAGTTACACATACTCAGCTGGAGTTTTAGGAATCCCCCCTGCCCTGCAATGATCTAACTGCAGTCAGAAACCGTTTGACCGTTTGAATTGATTCTTTCTTCTTGGGTGTATCTCACGCTCCAAACACCGATGTGCCGCACCCCTCCATCTCCGTGGGCTTCTATTGATGTCTGCCATTCAGCGAAAGCGCTTTTTGTGCCGCTGTTCGATACACCCCCCAACACACACACCAACCCCGCAGCTGGGAGCCAGCGAAGGGATCCCTTTGCTCTCTCCCTCCGCTCACTCCCCAGCCTAGGCACCGGCATCAACGCGCGCAGCCCGGCGAGTTTTCCGCACGTGAATGGATTTCCCTGGCTCATCTCCAAACACCGTGCAGCATCTCGGAGAGCGCGCGGAGATCAGCGAACGAGCATCGTCCCCTCCCGGAGGTAGTGCAGCCCGGCGGGGACCCTCCTCCCGCTCATCCTCCCGCGGTGCCGCGGCCGCCTCCCGAGCTAGCCGCGGGGCGGTTAGCGCCGGACCCAGCCGAGAGCCGGGGGGGCCCCTCTCGGCCAGTAGCAGCGCTGTTGTCTTCCCACAGGAGGACTTGGGAGGACGCTCGAGTCTGCAGCGCCCCCGCCCCCTCGCTTTTTCTTTCTTTCCTTGCTTTGGGATCTTGCTGCCGGAGCCGAGAGAGGTTCTGAGAAGACAAGAGCGAGGGACAGGAGCGCAGGCTTCCGCTGCGGCGCGCGAGCATCCTCGGCGTGCCCCCATGCTCCGCGTGCCCTCCCGGTCCTCGCCTCCCCGGCCGGAATGTAAGGAAGGAAAGCCCTAGAGCTTGCCTCCCGCCCTCGGAGGTGTCCCAGAGAGCATACTGTGACCCGTGGCTGGAGCCCCTTTGCCCGCAGCACCGCGGGACTGGAGCGGCGAGGCGCACCGCGTGCCGGTTCCCGGCTCCCACTCTTCGGAAAGAGCGCGGTGGGATCACCGCCTTCCCGGCTCTCCGCGCAACTCCTGGGCCAGCAGCGCGCGGCTGGACGAGTCCTGCTTCCCGCCAGCTCACCCGGAGTTGGGGGCAGCCTCTGCCTGTCCGCCCTGTAGCCCTAGCTTCCCCCGAACCTGCGCGGATCCCCCACGCCCGGGTGGTGAGCCCCGCGGCTCCTGGTCCCCGCAGCACCCCCGGCCCCATGGACAGCGCACCGGCTGCGGCTTCCTGAGTGCCGGCACCGCTGCCGTCCAGGCTGCGCACTGGGGTCCCCTGGCTCGTCCCCCTCTGGGGTGTCTGAGAGGCCGCGAAGCGCGCACCATGAAGTCCGTGCTGTTCAGCCGCTTCTTCATCCTACTGCCCTGGATCCTAATCGTCATCATCATGCTCGACGTGGACACGCGCAGGCCCGCGCCCCCGCTCACCCCGCGCCCCTACTTCTCTCCCTATGCAGTGGGCCGCGGGGGCCCACGACTCCCGCTCCGCAGGGGCGGCCCGGTGCGCGGGGCCGAAAAGGGCAACGAGTCTCGGCCGCAGCCGCAGCCGCAGCCGCAGCTGCCCACCATCTATGCCATCACGCCCACCTACAGCCGGCCGGTGCAGAAAGCTGAGCTGACCCGTCTGGCCAACACGTTCCGCCAGGTGGCGCAGCTGCACTGGATCCTGGTGGAGGACGCGGCGGCGCGCAGCGAGCTGGTGAGCCGCTTCCTGGCGCGGGCCGGGCTGCCCAGCACGCACCTGCACGTGCCCACGCCGCGGCGCTACAAGCGGCCCGGGCTGCCGCGCGCCACCGAGCAGCGCAACGCCGGCCTCGCCTGGCTGCGCCAGAGGCACCAGCACCAGCGCGCGCAGCCAGGAGTGCTGTTCTTCGCCGACGACGACAACACCTATAGTCTGGAGCTCTTCCAGGAGGTAGCGGCCGGCCCGCCCCACCGGGGAGGGGGGGTAAGGGCGGGAGGGTACTCGGGGCCGGCCGGGCGGCGGCCACACTTCCCCTTGCGCTGCCGCTGCACTTTTGAGTTCTCAGTTCTCCGCGCGCGCATTCGGGACGCCGAGTGGAGCTGCTCCTCGCCGGCAGTCTCCGCTGGCCGTGGGGGTGGACGGTGTGTGTGAAAGTTGACCGCTGTGGCTCAAGGGGTCTGCTCTGAGGCTCTCTGTCTCCAGATTGGGCCAAAGGAATAGCACAGGTGTTAGGCGCGGGAATGATTTCTAGGGATCGGGCTCTGGCTGGCCTGAGGATGGAGCCCGCACCTGGAGTCTCTGTGAGAGATCCCTGCACGGTAGGGGGATAGGCTTGGTGTACTCTGGGGCCATTCAGTGCATACAGCTGTGATTCTGAGTCTAGAACCATACAGGGAGGAAGGTGGAGATGGTAAGCCTAGAGACAGATTTCTTCTAGTACAGTCCCCTGGCACGCAAATGGTTGTTAGTGAAAACACTGACTTATATGGGGGTCCTCCGTTCATCTCTACCCCGCCCCTCACAATAGTCCTTTCTGACCCTGAAGGTTACCTCCCCTCTCCCTCCCCAAGTAAACTCTTTCTGACAAATGAGATTGTTCTGCCCTGCGGTTATGTCTTTTTGCAGCCCGAGGTATCATTTGGTCTGACCAGTCCCTTTTCCCAAACTTTCTCTGAGGCCTCTTTTTGGGGAGTTAGCCAGGCCACACTTGCCCGGGGCCATTGTGTTCTGCTGCCCTCTCAGGTCATGAGTGCAGCCCGGCCACCTGCTGCTGAGACGGGCCATGCATTCCCTTGGAAAGCCCCGCGCCCCTGCGCACACACAGCCAACAGGCAGTGTTAGAACAGGTGTTCTTCCTTGAGGCTGCTATTTTACAGTGTGTATGTGTGTGTAGTCTGCCAATGAGACCGAGTTGCGTAGTTTTGTCAGTTTCTTCTTCCCTGTACACAATTATAGCTAAATGCAATCTTGATTTCTTTGAAAACCTGCGAGACTGTTGCCTTCCTTCACCTGAAATTTCTTGATATCCTGTCTCAGAAAAGTCCAACGTCCCTTCTCCCAAGTAAACTGGACATTCGGAAAATACTATGCATAAGCTGGACACTGAACTGGTAAAATAATCTGTGTGTCTCGTAATCAGATACCCTAACTGCCCCCCACACTTTCAGCCTAATCTCAACCTCAGCTCAGAGCTATTCTGTACTCTTCCAGTTTAATTTTTCTGTGTGGCTTTTAAAAATCCACTTCTTAAAGGTAATTGCTGCCTTCATTTCCATTTATCCTCCCCTTCATGAATAAAAGGAGTAGTAATTGTTCTTCATCATTTCTTCTCCATCCTTTCACTGCAGAGGGCTTTCTTTCCATATTTCTCCAGAGAAATAAATGAGCTTGGCATTGTATAATATGGTCTCTAACCAAGATTAGAGATACCATCTGATTTCTTTTAATTGGGCTTTTATTTCGATCCTGCTTCAGTACTCTTTCCCCAAAAAGAAGTGACTTGTATTCTGAAGCAAAGACTTTACATTTTAATGCACCATAATTTTAAACCCCAAAGTATTTTTTTCCCTTCTACAACTTAGAAGTTGCCTTATCTGTGAAAAGGCATGGTCTTGTTTAAGTAAAATAATGGACATCCCTGTTAATGAACCTTGTAGGAGGTTAGATAGTGAAGGGAGAATGATTCGGTTTATTCCCAGATTCTAGCCTGTTGGTGTGAGACGTTAGAGGCCTGGACGCGTTGGCACACACAGGCAGTGAAACGATTCAGGACACAGCCTTCCTTTGATGCTTCCCAAGCTGAAAGGAGGGCTTGTTGGTGGGGGATATCAAGCAACAAGAGAAAAATCCAGTAGGTTTTTCATTGGATCATGGGGCATGAGTGAGGGGGGTCGGGGGTGGAGAAGAAAATAAAGACAGTAAGGAGACAAAATGATATTGTCAAAGAGGAAATTATAAAGGAAAACCTATACAACTTTCAAGACACTAAAATTTTGTACATTTGGAAGTAATAAAATAATCGAATTAAGTTTATCATAAAATAAGAGCATATATAACTATTTTTTATGGAGTAGTGCCAAGTATATAAAATATACAACAGAATGTGAGGGGTTTTGTTGTTATTGTTTTAAGCATAATAGGCATGGCATCCTTAGAATTGGTCTTCTAGCCCCTGAACATTTCTCCCAAACAGTAATTTTAAGACTAATACCTTTCCCTACCACTACCACCACATTTTGGGGACAGATGAGGCCTCTGTTCACCATACTTATATATAGATAGATACATACATACATTCAGTTTTCCTTATCACAGCTAACTCTTTTCCTTGCATGGCAAGCACCAGTGAACTCATTGGATTGGTGGAATTTATAAATTCTTAGACTTATACATTTTCCAGAACTTGAAATTTTTTTCTTATAAACCCTTAGTTTATTAATGAGATAGTTTATCATACACCCATCCTTGGATTAATGAATCCATGTGGCTTATAGTCTAGACATTGTTCCCTTGGAGGACCAGGCAAAACATTTCAAAGCTGTAGCTCTGTGGGGAAAAGGTAAGATGCTGCCCAGGGATGCCGTGGGGCTGAGGCATATATCTCAGCCCTCTGTATTGTGCACACACACAAATTAGTTTTTAAGTAATGCACAGTACTTAAGGAAAGAATGTCCCAAGTCAGCCTTCATCTTTTATTCATAATGCTTCTAATTTCCATGGTTGATGTTAAAGAAGATAAGATAAAAGGAGGAAAATGAACCAGGAACAAATTAGCTCACTAAGTATTGGCTGCAAATGAAGGAAAGTAAAGGATGAAAGGTCTCAAAATTAAATTAAAGACGCAACAGGCAATCTGTGTTCAATTATTCCTCCCCAGTAACTGGAATGGTGCTTTTTTTCTCCCATACAGCTAACTGATTTTCAGTCTCTCTTTTCAACTGAGCTGTTCTGCCTGGAAAAAAAATATTTGCGTTGAACAATCCTACCTTAACAGCCAAATCCATTTGCAAATGAAGCTTAGTGTGAGTCTTAGCCACAGAAAATGGGGCTGTCCATTGCAGAAGGAGGTGGCAGGGTTTTTTCAAGTTGCAAGTACCTTAACTACTACTCCTGTTCTTCCTGTGGCATTGATGGGATTTCGCACTATGGATCACAGGTAATCCTGCCTGCGTGCGCATCCTATCGATCTAGCTCTCTGGAAAAGCTTATTTGCCAAGGATTTAAGCTGCTTCAATAAAAGCTACAACTACAGATAAATGTGACTTTATATCTAGTCATATTTTCAGTGACACTATTGATCAAATGTCTGTTCTTTGCTAGAAAACCTTCAAAGCTTTAACTTTAAAGCAGATGCTTTTCAGGTGAAGTTGGTTTCACCTTTGGAAATCAATTGAATTGAAAGGTTGAAAAATAGCATTTTCCCAGCAAGAAAAAAAAACTTTAGAAATGTTAAATTTAATGAGGTTAGACTGGAAGACAGACTGTCTCTGAGACACTCAGAGACACTTAAGGGGCTCATGAAAGGAGTCAGTGAATGAGACTGCATCATGAAGATGTTTCTGGAAAGCGATGAACTAGAGAGAGCCCTGTTTGAATTTTTTGGGGGGGCCGCTGTTAAGCTGTTGGTATACTGCGCAGGTGGAGGAGTTGAGGGTTAATTGTGTCGTGTTCCTTTTCTAAAGCATTTGTGTGCTTCCCCCCTGACATGCTGCTTGTTGGAGCTATAATCCAAAGGATATTCGAGTTTACAATGTTTGATACTTTTCTCCCTAAATAGTAGTTCTGTATGTGTTTCCTGAATGGAGACACAAGATTTACCTATCTTTCATGCTTGATACATTTACTTTGTGTAAGGTAATTATCTTTTTAAAGTGAAGAAACCTTCTGGTTCACAAAAACACTATTTTACCTGAAATGTGCACCTTGTCTTTTGTTTCTCCCCATCTGAAATCATATTAATAGTCATGCCATAGGTCTGATAAAATGCGAGAATTTGTAAAAATGTGTATATAAAACTACAGCCAATTTTCTTAGGCTGTAAATATTAAATCTTTAGATTTTCTTTACTCTCCTTGGGTGTACAGTTCTTGAGTTATGGTTCATTTCTGACAGAATTTTCTTTGGAAACCATTTGGATTTTGATACTTTAATCAACCAGAAATAACAATTTGGGTTTAAAAGACATTCTTCCTTCTGCCTCTTCCTATTGTCTTTTTCCATCATTCTTTCTTCTTCAACCTAGTTTTCACTGATTATTCTCTCTCATGAATAGACATGAAAACATGTTTGGATTATTGTTCAGTGTAATGAATGTTGTGTCTTTTAAACATTTAGCTGTTGTCTGCTTCTTAGAAACTATAGCGGGTGGCTCCATTTTCTTCTGTCTACTCCACTTGCCTCTAAATTACAAGCTGGTAAATTTTCTCTTGTGTGAACAGTAATGGAATAGTAATTGCTTTTAAGGCATGCTGCAAAAGCAAAATAGAAGAACCAAAGTCAACAGTCTTATTAACTCTTTCAGGTGGTATTGTGGTGTTTTGTGGGTTTTTTTTTTTTTTTTTGGCACAGAATTCAGTAATGTTCAGATATGTCTATTCAAACCTTTTGTGAAATCTTTTTTTTTCGAGACAGGGTCTTTGTCAACCAGGCTGGAGTGCAGTGGCCTGGTTATTCAAACCTTTTGGATGCTGATGGAATATTTGTTCATTCTGTATAAGTTAATGCATTATTATATATTTAATTCAAAATGCTGTTGAAGCATGAAATTTAGATTTTATATGGTTGTTAAATTCTCCCACCAAAACACAAATAAAATTGTATCAACCTATTAATAGGTAGGTAGGTAGGAAGGTTTAGAATAGATCTCCAATTCACAGACATAAAACTAAGATAATTCATTGTTCATGCCTGGTAATTTTTGCATACAATTTTAAATGTTAAAAATACCTTTA